TCATTCTTGGCAATGGTATTTAGACCTTAACACAGACAACCACTACAAAAATGATTTTTCACATTGCTGCTTTTCATAACCTAAAAAAAAACAACTAAAAAAAAGCAATGTGACACTAAAGTAATTGAATATTTGGAGTTTTCATTAATGTTCTCACAAAGTATTTACTTGCATGTATCTTTAATCACTGTGCAACCAATTATTGGTGTCATTATACACTCTTACTTTGTGTTCTGTTTAAAAATAATTTGATGTTTGAAAAGAATCTTCTTAATGAGAACTTTTAGCCACAATATAATATCAAAACTTTCCATAACTAATTAATTATTTTCTTTTGTTGAGTGTGCAGAATTTTAATAGTTTTGTACTTTGAGGGAGAAAAAAAAACCCTATAATCATTAGTTTGGCATTCTCTACCAAGGCAAACACTATAACATGTAGCATTAAATGTCTTGTTTTATTAAAAAAAAAATAGGTATCAAGGCATTTGGAAATCTGGCTATTAAAAAAAATCTAAGCAATTAATATCCAGCACTTGACTTTCAAGTTGCTTTCTCTGTCATACAACTCTCAGCTCTTGAGACGCAGGTCCTCCTTATACAAACTGACACTGACATGCTGAAGACAGGAGCCCTCTCCCAGCCCTATTAAATCAGAACTATGTTGGAGTTTCACTTTACCATACTTCCCAACTCCTGGGCACATCACCTGGCACCGTCTCCATGTTAGTCACCCGGCCACCTGCTAATGTCTCTAGCCTACCAGAATGTACAGCTTAGACAAGGTCTGGATGTCTTCTGTCCTGCCCAACGTTTCATTCTGTTACTACCTTGGGATCTTGATTGGTTTTGTTTTCTCTGTCAGTTAAAAATTAAAAGGCAGGACAAATCTCTAGGATGGCAGCTAGCAGCAGGGAAAAATCCCAAACACAGCTGATTGCAGCAGACGGACTCAGCTGGGAAAGGAAGGCTTTTGTTAGGGGTGAAAAAACACACTCATGCCCAGAAATACACAGAAAGAAAGACCCTCCACAGAGCAGAGCAAGGAGGCATCTCCTGGGGGCCTGGGGGTTTTTGAACTCTTTGAAGGATCTTCTTCCCTAGCATAGGGTTGGTCAGTTTGAAGAAAGATACACTAGCAGATCTGCCCACAGCTGCTGTGGATCATACCCAGATCATACCGTGAACTTGCTGAGCCAGTTCCTCAGCAGGGCCACTACTGATGGGAGGGAAAGCCCACAAGGCCTTTGTTTGAAACTGGCATGCCTTTGTCTCTGGTCAGGAGGGTGAGGAAGAAACCAGCCATCTTGGAATTTCAGTATCTTTATTACCTAGTTATAGCTCCTGTCCTAACTGTCTGCCTACCAGGGAAACTAAATCCTAGTCCCTCAATTCTAAGTGCTCAAAATGTGAAAAAGGAGAGGCTAACAAACATTCGTAAACTACATAAATTAATGAAAAACATGAGGCAGAACTATCTATCACAAGAGAAAGGGTGGCCTGTGCCCCGAGTGTTAGCTCTGCAGAGAACTTTGCATTATGGAAGGCAGTATGAAACTGAGTTTCAGGAAACAGAGGAGGACGGACTACACCTTCAAACTCTAAACTCTGAAAAGATCCCTAGCTTAGATTCTGCTGTACTTCTTCTTTCTGCCTTCCAGTTGAGGTTTTCATGAATTTTCCGGCTAACAAGTCTTGGCCAACCACCCCCGCCCCACTCCACCAACCTGACAGGTTCCTTAACTGCAAATCATTGCTGAAAGGTCCTAAAAGCAAGGTGATTGTCCTCTGCACCACCCAGCTTTATCTGCCTAAAGGAAGGGAGGGTCATAAATCCACAAAGGTCTCTCCCCTCCTAGCACCAAGAGCAGCTGATGTACCTGTTTGTAGAAATTCACCCTCACCACAGTCTTGTGGTGTAGAAAGATCTTCACCCAAGGACCTCAGCTTGGTTCTTAGTTCATAGTTTTGTATTTCATATGCTCCATAAACATTGACCATTTCCAGGTAAGAATTTGTGTGAAATGAATGAACCAAGGTACTATAAAAAGCCTCACAACCAACTGTAGGTAATGGAAAATTAAAAACTGTGAATGTGAAATAGCACATAAGCAGGCAGACATGGAAGGTTTTGCTAATGATGCTGTACATGGCTAAGGTACAAGCTGTACCTAGCTAAAGACTGTATTAGCTTGCTAGAGCTGCTATAACAAAGTGCCGCACATTTCTGGCGCAATAGAAATTGATCATCTGATAGATTTTAGAGGCTATTATCTGAGATAAAATATTTCTAGGTTAATCCTGCCTGGTCATGTGGGAAAAACTGTACAGTGCCTTTCTCTGATTCGTGTATTTTGATGGCAATCTTTGCTGGCCTGTCCCTTGGCATCTAGAGGCATCATCTTAGTGACGTCATTGACACTTGGTATTCTTGAATGCATGTTCAGTGTTCTGGTCTCCATGCTTTATAAGGACTGGCCATAATGAGACACCCTACTTGAATATGGTTTTATAGCTAGCTATGCTGCCATTTTCCCTCAAGGTCACATTCTGAGGTGCTGCAGTCTACACTACAACATATGAATTTGGGGTGGGACAGAATTCAGACCATAGCAATGATCAGTATTATGTTCCTTGTTTACCAGGTACAGAGTCCCTAAAAAAATCAGATCTTCTTAGTGTATTTGTATTTGTTAAATAATCACTAACATGTTCAAGGCTTACCGGTATATATCAGACACTGTATTAGCTAATGCATTAGTGATCTCTTTAAACTCCCAGAAGTAGATGAGAAATGATGGCTTGGAGAAGGAGAGTAGTTTGCACATGATTGTCTAGTTACTTGCCAGAATACAATGATTACACTTTGACAAGTCAAAATACTGGGTGACCCACTTCCTGGATCATAGCAGCTGTGTCCAAGCAAAAAACTCCATACCTTCATGTAGCTGATTTCTGTCATTCCCACTCCTTATGCCGAAAGCTTTCTGCCCGCAGCTGAGATTTCACAGAGCATGACCTGTTTTATTATTAGTTCTTGTTGCTCAGGCTCAGAATAAGCCTTGGGCCTCTAAAAGAAAAACAAAAACAAAAACCTGAATCCTGAGTCCACATGACACTTGTGTTTGTTTGAAAATGAGATGATGAAATTGAGACACAATTTTTGCTTTGTTTTGCACTGATATGGAATTAAGGAGAAACAGCACAAGATGTACTTTCTTCTGTAGACTAATTTCTGAATGGTCTTATTAAATAAAAAAACACAGAGCCAAATATAGGGGTGAAAGCCTTAGAGATCAGGGATATAGGGAGAGCCACCAGCCAACCTTAACTCACCAATCCTGCAGCTCCTAAATGCGAGTTACTTCCTGTCTACCCACACCTTTATATGCCTTGCTTTTCTGCCCTCTCATTGGCTCTTAACCCAGCTACCTCACTTCCTTGTCACTGCCTGTCTGTACAGATCTCCAGGTCTCTATGGTTGGTACTGGGATTAAAGGCGTGTGTCACCACACTTGGCTCTGTTCCCTAGTAAACACACAGAGACCCTGCCTGCTAAGTGATCAGATTAAGGACATGTGCTGCCTGACTTTGTTTACTTAAAATGGCTGGCCTTTCCCCCTGATCTCCAGGCAAGCTTTATTTATCAAAGCACAAATAAAATATCACCACATCCTTACAGTAATTAAATGAGCTAACTAATTTTACTTTTAGAAATATTGTACTTTTATTTAAAAGTATGTTGTTTTTAAAGTTGAAATGATAAAATGATACAAAAATGATTTAAATGACCTATAACTCTAATAGTCAAGATGATCCCAGAAGACAAATTTTGACAAATATGGGGTAGATTCTGTTTCAATGTCTAGTTTATGATTTTTGGATCTTAGCATTTTTAAAATTTGACTTAGTCTCTTGAGGGTCTAATTTTTACATTCCATTAATCCTCTCCCAATACTGTCTAATTACTGACTTACTATATAATGTTAACATGATTTATTTAATCCATTTCTTATTGTTTGATGCTTAATGTATCTAGAAATTGTGCTTTTTAATTTTTGAAATAAAAAAAACTTTAAAAAATTTGTTTTTTATGTTGACCACTTCTAAGTAAAAAATGGTAAATACTATCAGATTTAAATAAGAATTTTTAAATATTTTTTGTACTTATTCAATGAGTGTGTGTGTGTGTGTGTGATGTAATTGAATGTGTGTGTGTGTGTGCATGAGTCTAATGTGCATGTATGTGTGTGGGGTTGGGTGCACATGTCTTGGTCAGAGGACTTTCAGGCGTTGGTTCTCTTCTTCCAGGGATTGAACTCAGGTCATCAGGCTTTGTGACAAGAGCCTTTACCCTCTAAGCCATCTCACCTGCCCTAAGTAAGAATTTCTAAAAGATATATGGCTGTATAAATTAAGTAGAAGTTTAAAAAAATTACTTGTAACATATCCCTGTTTCTGAGCAAACCTGTGGAGAGTCCAGTGTGATGTTTCTACAGTCTTATTTCTGATCTTGTATCTGAAGACTTACTCCAGGGGAAGCATTGGAGGAGTGCTGTCTCCATCCAATATGCTAGATTTTCCAGCTTTGTTTACATGCTTTGATAATGTTCAAGACATGAAATTTGAGCTAGAATATTCACTGGTTGACTAATGTCAAGAATTCTTGGAGGGGTTCATCTGGAGAATGTGGATTTGGGTATGTATGAACAAGATCACTGCCTCTCTTTTCTTCACATCTGTGATAACCTCAGTTATGAGAAACACTGGTGTTTTGTGTGTTGCTAAGCAAGAGCAAACATGAACAATGATATGTGATTAATGGTGAGACAAAGAAAAAAATGCATTATGTTGATAAGACACACATTATTAAACCCCATAATACTATTGGTAAGAAAGGAAAATTGGTGTGAACTATGTCATCTTTCTCTCCTTGGTGGGCTATAGTGAGTGACTCATTAACTGAATACAGGCTCTTCATCTCTCTCATCTTCTTCCCAGGTGTTGGGAGGAGCTCGGGCATGACCAGGAGCAGCTGCTGGTTGGGATCTCTGAGTTGGACATCAAGACTGGAGGTGTCCCCTCACAGCTGTTGGTGCATGGGTCCCTGGCCTTCCCTCTGGGGCTCAATACCTCCCTCGGCTGCTTCCTAGCAGCTGCCCACTATGGCCGTGGTCGTGTGATACTGGCTGCCCATGAGGCCATGCTCTGTGCTCCTCAGATGAAACCATTTTTGCTCAATGCTGTACGTTGGTTGGCCAGAGACCAGAGAGGCAATATTGGGGTGAACAAAAGTCTCAAGAATCTGCATTCCCTGTTGTTGGAGCGTGGCTTGAGTTGCAGCCTGAAGTCTCATTTGACCAGTGACATGTGTGTCTACTGCTGTGGGGCCTATAGTGATCAGGATGCCAAGAAAATACAGGAGTTTGTCGCTGAGGGTGGGGGGCTGCTCATTGGTGGCCAGTCCTGGTGGTGGGCTTCCCAGAACACAGGCAGCTCTGCCTTGGCAGGTTTCCCTGGGAATGTCATCCTCAACACCTTTGGCCTCAGCATCCTGCCTCGGACCCTCAGCCCAGGCTGTTTCCCTGTCCTTCCTACAGAGATAAGGAACTACCACTTTCGAAGGGCTCTCTCTGAGTTCCAGGCTGTGTTGAACCACAAGGGTGGGAACTTGGAAAAGAAGTATTTGGCAAGGTTGGGAGTAGATGCGGCAGGCTTCCTTCAGATTCCTGCACAGGGGATTCCTGCTTACATGTCTCTGCACCGGCTGCTGAGGAAGATGTTGAGACAGGCAGGCCTCCCAGCTGTGAGCAAGAAAAATCCAGTTTCCGGTCACTCCTGTGAGGCTGCAATGCTCCATCTGGCCACAGAGCTGGCACATTCTGGGACTGATTGCTCCCAGCTAGCCCAGGGTCTCGGCACTCAGACCTGCTCCTCCAACCTCGGTCCCTCAGAGCATCCCATCACTGTGGAGATCAGTGGAACCAACCCAGGTATAGAATGGACAGGGAATGCTCGGAGTATTCTTGGCCTGGGAGAAGGTGGGTTTGGTTAACTTTTCAGAACCTGGAAGGTTCTGATCCTCAGAATGAATAGCTCCATGCTGTGCTAGACAATGGGAGCTGGGATTGTGCTTAATTAAGGCCAAGGAGGAAAGGGTACAGGAAGTGAGGATGGATGATTTGGAGTTCATGGAAGAAGTTGCATCTGTGGGAGGCTCCAGGTAGAGTCAGGCCATGTAGGAACACAACTCAGCCTTCTCTGTGACTTGTCAGGTAACGGTGACACCTGGATGAGCACTGGGCTCTACCTTCTGGAAGGTCAAAGTGCAGAGGTCTCTCTCTCTGAAGCTGCTGCCTCTGCTGGCCTGAAGGTAAGGCTAGACACTGGGAACCAGCACTTCCCAAAACTTAGCCAAGACTCTCCCACACCAAAGAGTGGTTTTTATCTCCCTTACTGAGTTTATGCAGCAGGAGCCCATGGGAGGGTTATTCTGCCCCTCTTATAGATGGAACAGCAGAAAGTCCAAGCTATGATGACCCAAGCTCATTCCTAAGCCTGATTTCCATATGTGGCAATTTTACCTACTTAGAGGGATAAGGAAGAGTGACCTTATTACTTATCAGTACTCACCAGTTTTCCTGGTAGCAGAGGCCGAAGTTTGACCTCTTCATTTTGACACCCCTTTAAAGGGTGTGTTTCGTCCCATTACCTGTATCATGAAAATATATGACCTCCATGCGGAATTTAAATTCTTCTGCCCTCTCAGTTCTAAGCATCATTTCCTACTACAGTTAAGGGCTCTTCTATCGGCATTCTGAGATAACAGAGTTATCTGCTTCTATCTGACAAAGGCAAAGAGGCAACCCCACAGAGCATGGAAGGGTGAGGGGGACAGGAGAGCAGATGAGTTCTCTGCCTCCTGGCTCAACTTGGTAGCATCTGGATGGACTTGTATCTGCTCATAATAGGTAGGCAGCCTGAGATGCCCTGCATCATACAAAGTATCAGAGCCACTCTGCTGTTTAAGTCTGATATAAGAGACCAGGATTCTGCCTGGTAGTGAGACTCCACGAGTGCCTACTCAGTTACACCTAGTAATTAGACAATTCATATCAAATGGAAATTCACTATTAGACTGTTTTACACCCTTAAATAAACCTTAAATTTACTTTTGAGTCCAAAAGACTTCGGAGTGCTGCAGTCTCATAGACTACATGTATCCTTCACAGAAAAGGGAAGTTAGGATTTCATATATAATCACCACCATCCATATGCCCCTAACAAAACCCTGCATGCTTCTTGGGGGCTCAAATTCCCTTCATGTGGTACAATTGTCTGTCCAGGTACAGATTGGATGTCACACCGATGACCTAAGTGAGGCCAGGAAGCTGTCTCGAGCCCCTGTGGTAACTTACCAGTGTTGTATGGACAGAACTCAACGGTCAGTCTCCTGCCTCTGGGGTGGTCTCCTCTATGTCATTGTGCCCAAAGGCTGTCAGCTTGGTCCTGTCTCTGTTACTATCAAGAAGGCAGTGCCTGCTCCGTACTACAAGCTAGGTGAGTGGACTGGGCATTGAGGGAAATTTGAGCTCCAGGTGCCTTGGTGACTGTGGGGTTATTATTGAAGAGAGAGAGTATAACAAGGATCACTAGAGGGGGAAAGGTAGAACTGTTCAACATGAGTCTACAGCCAGGAGGTAGGATCAGCCTTGTCTATGGAGACTTTGGGTACAATGGAGAGGGGTCTAGCAGTTTGACCTTCACCTGCAGCCTATGGACCTGAATGATAGCAAGTCATTGGTTCAGTGCTTTCCTTCTAGAATTTCACTCCTCTCTCTCTCTGTCTGTCTGTCTGTCTGTCTCTCTCTGTGTGTGTGTGTGTCTGTCTGTCTGTCTGTCTGTTTCTCTCTGTCTCTCTGCCACTGCTCAAAGGGAAATGGGCGGCAGGTTCCATGCTATATATTTCCAGGTAAAACATCCCTAGAGGAGTGGAAGAGCTGTGTCCAGGATAACCTGTGCCCCTGGGGAGAGCTGGCTACAGACAACATCATCCTGACGGTACCAACTGCAAGCCTCAGGGCTCTGGAGGACCCAGAGCCTCTGCTCCAGCTCTGGGATGATATGATGCAAGCCGTGGCCAGATTGGCAGCCCAGCCTTTCCCTTTCCAAAGACCTGAGAGAATTGTTGCAGATGTGCAGATCTCATGTGGTAGGTGCTCCAGGGGAATGCTCTTACTGAGCAAACTCCATTTTGTTATTATTTTACTTTTCTTGTAGTGCCCAAGAATTGTAAAACATAATTTTGCTATTAAAATGCAAGGAAAGAAGGACAAAAAAAGCTTGGACCATGATAGAAGTAAAAGATGTTTACAAACAAAAGGTCAATCAGTGACATCTTACAAGATACAATTTCCTAAGATAGCAATCACACCCAGAAACTCAATGCTGGGAGGCCACCAGTGTCTGTCAAGATCTTTTCAAAAAGCATATTCAAAGTGGACTACTTCCTTCAGGCAAAGCCATAACTGAAAAAGAAGGGGGAGGGTGAATAAAGGTATGAATGCCAAGGACTTTGCAGAGAAGATACATACATGTAGGGAATCAGTTCAGAGTCCTGCTCCCACATAGGGAGGATAAATTTTTATCTACAAAACTATCTCTATTATGTCATGCAAATCTGGTTAACAATGCTGATTGGTGGGGGTGGGGTGGGGGGACTGACATTACCCTAGCTTCTCTAGTCCAGGCTCAGGGCATCATGCCATAGACTCACAGGCAAAGGAAGATCTTGAAAACAAAGCAGCAAATCCCAGCAAGGACAGTTACTGTGAAGTATCTTCCTACCCTTCAGAGTGAGGACCAGGACAATACTTAATTGGGAGAATCTGGGAAGGGGTCAATTACTGTAGAAAAGCCAGATGCTTTCCAAATGGCACAGATATCTGGAATCACTGGGTACAACCATGATTGTGAAGGAAAAGCTCAACAGTGGAAGGAGGAAGTTGAGGCAGACCCTGCTTTCACACTCCGTCTCTTTCTTTGCATCACCAGGCTGGATGCATTCAGGATACCCCATCATGTGCCACCTGGAGTCTGTGCAGGAGCTCATCAATTTGACATCCATGAGAAGTACGGGCCTGTGGGGACCCATCCATGAGCTGGGCCACAATCAGCAGCGCCATGGATGGGAGTTCCCTCCCCATACCACCGAGGCCACCTGCAATCTCTGGTCAGTCTACGTGCATGAGACAGTTCTGGAGATTCCCAGGGCTCAAGCCCACCCCGCACTGAAACCTGAAGAACGAGAGAAGAGAATCAAAGACCACCTTCAGAAGGGAGCACCCCTGGATAACTGGAATGTCTGGACAGCGCTGGAAACATATCTGCAGGTACTTAGCACAAATTCAGGGAGATGGTGCTGACAGACTCCTCAGTCATGTAGTGTCCTGCCTCCTAAGAGCTCTCCAATTCCTGCATGATCCCCTAAAACCTGGGACCACCACCACCACCCCTGGATGTGAGTCACCGGTGGTACCTCTCAGCTTATATACTTGTATGATAAAAGTGACACCCATCCCACTTCCAGAACCAGGATGTTGGAAGATGCAAGGAAATGGAAAGTATTCTGAGAAATTACAAGGCACATTTTTCTGTGCTATCCTGAACTTTGACTGAGAGGGAAGGATCTGAGTCATATTCCTGACTCCTCTCACTGGCTTTGCCCTTCATCTCTTAATAGCTGTTCCATAATAGCCGTTGTTTGGTTATGTTTTGTTTTCCTTACTTTTATGGGTTACAATGACAGGGACATGTCTACAGGGCAACTGCATTACAAATAGGTATTGTAAGAAGAAACATATCTACTAACAAGGTCCCCAGGCTTTGAAGCAGAAGCATTGTTTGAATAAATAATGACCAACCAATAGGAGAGCAATGAAGTCATAAAGTTAGTCCATTTCCTGTGGATAAGCATCTATCCCTGCCCCCTTTCAAAAAATGTGCTTCCAATTTTCATGGCCGGTCATCAAAGCTTCTGACCACACCAGACCTTTTGCCCTGTCTACTGCAACCCTGTGCAGAGGGCTTATCTAGTTCACTTGTCACAGAGGCTTGTAAACCCTAAGTTAAGAATCCAATCAACTTGTTCAAAAGCACCTACCTAAACGACAGATCAAGAACTTAGAATCAGGAGTTAGCAGCAAGCCCTGGCTTCTTAGATTGCTACACTCTAATGTTTCCCTTCACTGGTTTTGAAGAGTGAGATGTGGTCTCAGTTGATGAGCAACCCAACTCAGTCCGGCTGGAGAAAGCACTTAAGATCTGGATAATACATTAAAAAACAAAGCTAATAATAGTAACCGTCTTTTATTGAGTAACTCTTTGTACATTAGGGTTCTAGAGAGCATCGTTACTAGATTGAGGGGTAAAATTTGGTTGCCAAGAGCCACTGAGATCCAATAAGGTAGATTTATATGGAGACACAGGATGGGAAGTGGGACAAACAAGAGGTTTGAAGCTGATGGGAAGCAGTCCCTGATATACCTATGACCACGCACACAGGCAGCAGTCAGGCTCACAAACTCAACACCTTATTCTTCCCTCTCTTTCTCTTTCCAGCTCCAGGAGGCCTTTGGGTGGGAGCCATTCATGCACCTCTTTGCTGAATACCAAAACCTCTCTGGCCTCCCCAAAGACAAAGAGAGCAAGATGAACGTATGGGTGAAGAAGTTCTCTGAAGCCGTGCAGAAGAACCTGGTCCCTTTCTTCGAAGCCTGGGGCTGGCCTATCCAGAAGGAAGTGGCTGATAGCCTGACCTACCTGCCTTGCTGGCAGGATCACCCTCTGAAGGTGTACATGAGTACGGAGGAGTAAGGGCTACAGAGCAGGTGGGGCAGGGGTGGGGGTGGGGTGAGGAAGGACCCTGCCACACTGCCAACTTCACCACTGTGTTCTGGCTTGAGGCACTCACTGCCTTAACTATTTTTTCCTCAAGCATTTGTCTTTAAAATATATTTTAGGTTGTTTTGAATATCATTACAGGCTTTCTTTAGAGCCCAGAGCTGCTTGTGATAATGAACCTAGGGAATATTCCTTTTCACATTCCATCAAGCACATCCTCAACTCAGGGACCATCTCCTTAGATAGTAACATTCCTTAGGTATTTGGCAAGTGCTTTGCACATGAAAGGCATTAAGGAAATATGTGCTATATGAAAGAACACGAAGGTCTCCTGACATAGACGGAAAAGTCAGTCCATTGTCCTAGGAACTGCGTACAGCAGTTTCTGAGTTATGTGAGCAATATTCCAGCAGACTTCCAAGGAAAATACAGTTAACATCACCTCATCATACAGGAGAAAATGACATGGATATTAAACAACTTCTGCAGTCAAAACTGCAAAGAGGAGGTGTCAGGGTTTGGCAGATGTCCGTAACAGTGATAGACTGTAGAGCTTATCCTCGACAGATTTATAATTGTAACAAAAATTTGCCTAAAAGATAGATGCAAGTTTAAAGACCTCTATTTTCCCCTGTGCTAATTATTGCATTTTGACTAAATATCAGATTGAATCTCTAAATGGTTTTGGTGTCTGATTTTCTCGTTACCTCAGCCTAGACTCATCTGCCTTAGGGACCCAGCCTTGGGAAGGTATTTGAACCAAGGCATTTCAGTTCCCCAACTGGTGATGTCTTAATCCTGATGGGAGGAAGGGGTGAGTAGAGGGATGATGCTGGAATTAGGAGGTTACCTAGGAGACAAAACTGAAACCTAAGCTTGTACACACCTCTGTGTAGGACCTGGAGCCCTGTGGTGGTTTCTTCTCATTCCTGCAGACAGACACTAGCTTTGCCTCTTATTTTAATGCTCATGGTGTATTTTTTTTTTTTCTTGTCTGTGGCTGCAACTTCCTCAGGTTAGTCTTGGATGCATAAAAACCAATTTTATGCCTTCAATTTTATTGTTCTAAGTTTAGAAACCATATTAGGAGAAAAAAATTCAAGAATTTTAAGCTAAGACAAAGTCCCAGCACGAGTGTTGGGGGGGGGGGGGATCATGAAGTCCCACCCCCAGCTGAAGAGCTGATGGCAAAGTATAGCCATCAGTTCTTCTTTGTCTACAATACAAAGAGTCAAGCTGGTTTGGAAGAGGTTGATTTACTTGTAGCTGAAGCAGGCGCAGGATCCCAGCTTGGTACATCTGATTCATACCTTCTAACCTCAACTAGTTCCAGTAATGGAAGGTGGTCCAGGTCAAGCTGATGAATGGCAGGTCACAGACTTCTATTGCATAGACTGGAAAGCAGACATTGCTTTGGTATTGCGGACAAAAGCTTGATTAGATTGCCCAAAGCTTCAATCATTGTAGTTAGACCAAGAGACAGTTGAGGGATGGTAATTCATTTTCTTTCTTTCTTTTTTTTTTTTTTTGGTTTAGAAATTTCATAACAAACTTGCATTACACATTTTGAAATTTCATAATGTAAGCATATTACTCATAGTTATAGAAATAAATTTTAATGATTTATTTGCTTTTACTTTGTAAGCATTGGTGCTATGCCTGCGTGTATGCCTGTGTGAGGGTGTCAGATCACTTGGTGCTGGATCACAGACAGTTGTGAGCTGCCATGTGGGTGCTGGGAATTGAACCTGTGATCTTTTTTTTTTTTTTTTTTTTTTTTTTGGTTTTTCGAGACAGGGTTTCTCTGTGTAGCTTTGCGCCTTTCCTGGATCTCGCTCTGTAGACCAGGCTGGCCTCGAACTCACAGAGATCCGCCTGGCTCTGCCTCCCGAGTGCTGGGATTAAAGGCGTGCGCCACCACCGCCCGGCGGAACCTGTGATCTTTGGAAAAGCAGCCAATGTTCTTAACTGCTGAGCCGTCTCTCCAGAACCTAGAAGCAATTTTTGTAAAGAGTTTGAAATAATCTCTTAGAAAAAGTAGATCTGAAAGTGAGTAGAGATGGAGACAGAGTGCTGGAATGGACTACTCTTGTTTTAAGTTCTTTGTTATTTATTTAATATTTCACTTCTGTTGTGTACTACCCTGGTTATTTTTATTTTTATTACAGTTTTGCATACAATACATTTTATTCAAAATTTTCATATTTTTTTATCATATTCTTTCCTCTTCTCCAACTTCTCCCAGGTCCTCCCTACCTCCCCAACTTTATGTTCTTTCTCTATACATATAATAAAATAAGTTGATGCAGTTTTCTATGATTGGATCCCTACGTATATTTCCAGATCTCTCCCTTTCTTCTAGCCAAGATGCCCATGTCATTTATGGACATCATGTTTCTCATCTCTAGACTGATCTCTGCTTCTATATCTTTTTTGCCTCTGTCTACCTGGATTTCTTGTACTTCATAAAAGAGTAGAGACACTTTTGGCTTCTAGGTTTCCTCTGTGGTAGAATGAAAATGAACAAACCAACAAAGCACATGTCCTACTTGAAATTATATTTACCTGTTATTTAAATATTGGTAAAAAAAAATCCATATGGTTTAGTATTGTATTTAATAAAATCTTGCCCTGTAAGGAGAGATGTGCCATCTTGGAACCTGAACTATAGGTGCGAGGGGCACATCTCACCACTTGGGGCCAACAGAGAGATCTTTCCTAATTCATATAAATCTCCTGTGGCTTTAAGGAAGAGACCTCTGTGTATTAACTTGGGTTAATATGCTGTTGCCTTTAAGGTCTCCTCCTCCTCCTTCACCAGCCCCTCCTTCTCCTCCTCTACTTTTTTCTACTTCTTTTTCCCTGGACTTGTCCTCATGCTTCAGGTTTTGATACAGTCTGTTTTTCCTTAAACATCAGTCATCCCCTTGGAATTGACTTGTGTAGTGTCCCCCAGTTCATGGAGACTTTGTCAAGGCAGGGACCATGTCGCTCTTATGCACTCCTGTGCCTGCTACCCCAAGCAAGAGCCTGTCACATACCATATTGGCTGTGAGCATGCCCTGCACTAGCATATCCAAACAAGCCTGCAGCTACAGGGAAGACCAGAAGTGGAACTGCTGCCTGTTCCTGCTCAGTCTTCAAAGGGCCATCCTATCTATCACTGTCCAGGAAAAACACTTCCATTCTTCCAGAGTAAAGTTTTAGAGGTGCAGTTGTCCATTCCCCAAGTCTAGCCTCTGAATGTAGGTTTCATTGTGAGCATGGCTTTTCCCATTCCTTTCTTTTCTTTAATTTTCTGTGTATGAGTGTTCTGCAGCACAGAGCAGAAGATGTTATTGGATCTCTTGGAATGTAGTTAAAGAGGTTGTGAGCCAGAAGAGCAAGGTTTACTTCATGAAAAACATAAAGTCACATCTATACACTCCTACAGGTGCTGAAAGAATAAGAGAACATCACTTTCACATGTTAAGGATAAATTGAGAAAGAAGGGATATGTGGCGTGGTTAGGATTAAAACTGGAAACTCCAGGCTGGAGAGATGGCTCAGAGGTTAAGAGCACTGGCTGTTCTTCCAGAGGTCCCGAGTTCAATCCCCAGCAACCACATGGTGGCTCACAACCATCTATAATGAGATCTGGTGCCCTCTTCTGGCATGTGGACAGAACACTGTATGTGTAATAAATAAGTAAATCTAAAAACAAAACAAAACAAAACAAAAAACTGGAAACTCCATCAAGCCCTGGTCTAAAGAACAAAACTGAGTGAGAAGCACTGTAGACAGTTGGAGAAGGGAAACTCTTCACCCTGGGGAATAAAGAGCTCACTCTGAGGTGCAGCCCTTCAGCAATCACTTAAAATGTTCCTTGCTTCTGCTCCCTCTGCTCTCATGGACCAATGAAGCCAAGGATCCCAGGGAAGAAGCAGAACCACAAGTGAGGAGGACTTGCTATGGAGGGCTTCCTTCTTTCATGTCTTGTATGTAGGTTGCCAGCAGAACATGTGGTCCAGATTAAAGGTAGATTATTCTACCTCAAAAGATCTGAATTAAAAGTTTATCTTCCCACTTTAAAGATTCAGATTACAAGTGGATCTTCCCACTTCAATTGATTTGATTAGGAAAAAAAAATCCTTCACAGTTGTGTCCAGTCATTTGGGTTTTTGTTAATTCCAGATGTAGTCAAATTGACAACCAAGAATAGCTGTCACAAGGGTTAATATCTAAAATATATATATAAAAAAACTCAAAAACTGGAAATCAATAAAACAAATAACACAATTTAAAAATGGGGTATAGATATAAAAGAGAATTCTCAAAAGAAAGGAAACATAAATGGCTGAGAGGTACTAAAAAATACTCAAAATCCTTAGTCACCATGAAAATGAAAATCAAAACTACTTGAGACTTCATCTGATACCAGTCAGAATAGCCAAGATCAATAAAACAAATAACAACTCATGCTGGTAAGGATATAGAGCAATGGGAACACTCATCCATTCTTGGTGGGAGGGCAAAATTGCACAACCACTACGGAAATCAGTGTAGTGGTTCCTGAGGTTCAGAATTGATCTACCTCAAGATCCAGCTATACAGCTCTTGGGCATATACCCAAAGGATACTTCATCCTATTACAGAAACACTGACTTAACCATATTTATTGCTGCTCTATTCCTAATAGCCAGAAATTGGAAACAATCTAAATGTTTTTCATGAAAGAATGGATAAAGAAAATGTGGTATATTTACACAATAGAACATTACTTGGCTGTTAAAAAAATTACATCATGAAATTTTCAGATAAGTGGATGGAGTTAGAAAAAAAAATCATCCTGAGTGAGATAACTCAGACCCCAAAGAGACAAATATAGTATATATTCACTTATATGTGGATGTTATCTGTTAAGTCTTCAATAAGTAGTCGATAATTCATATAAGCACAAGAGTTAGGTACAGAGTAAGGGACTGGGGAGCACTGGATCACTCTCGGAAAGGGAAATATACTAGATGGATGGGGGAGGCTAGAACAGGAGAATCAAATGGGGAGGGGGAAGGTAAAGTTAGGGAGGGAATGTGGGGAAGAAGAGCTAAAGCTAATGGCCATTTGAGGGGCTGCATGGAAACCTAATACAGTTGAAGCTTCCTAAAATATATACATATATGAAGGTGATCTAAATTGAATTGCCTAATAACAGGTAAAACAGAGACCTAACTGGACATCTCTCATCACCAAATGAAACCTCTAGTGTCAGGAATGAGTTACATGTAATCAAGTTGTTGGCCAAAGGGGTCCCATGGCCAGACAATCTAGGCTTATGCTAAGGCTGTAGGCTGCTATCCACAAACAGATAATAAGCCACTATTGCTGAAGTCAACACCTACACAACTCATTGAATATAGAGAAGTTGAGCTGGTGCTTATATAGAGCTTCACACCTACTGACTAACGTTCACAGTACTGGAAGGTACTCAGCATACTACCAAAGGAAAAGGTAAACACCAATCCAGCTACTAATTCTTTAGTCTGTAATGGTGATCTGCATGAAAGATGTGGCACAAATCTTGTGAGATTAATCAGCCAATATCTGATTGGATTTAAGGTCCATTGTAACCTATCCCTGATACTGCTTGAATGTCCAAGAACCCTTGATTAGATAGGCCAGGGACCTAGGGGCAAACCAATTACAATTATTTTGCTAAAGGAACATAGCAATAAAATGACTCCTAATGGCAATCTGCTGTACTCATAGAATAGTGCCTTGCTCAGTTATCATCAAAGAAGTTTCTTCCTGCAGTAGATAGAAATAAATACAAAGACCCACAGCTGGACAAGGTGCAGAGAGTGAGAAACCCTGAAACACTTAGTCTTAAGTAAGACATCTCCTTCAAATCCCACCCCTCACAGCTCAGAAAACTCTGAGGAACAGGAGGAGGAAAGAGTGTGTAAGAGCCAGAGGGGACAGAGACTACCAAGGAAAGAAAGGTCTTCTAAACACAGCAGGATCAATGCACATATAAAGTCACAGAGACTGTGGCCCAATGGGGCCCCAGTGTTGAGAGGAGAAGTGGACACATGCCCCCATCCCTAATCAGAAGCTGTCTCCAATTGCTAACCACTCACAAATGGAAAGTTAGTTTTCTCCAACTGAGTCTCACTGGAGATATAAACCTATTTTAAGGCCAGGTCCCATGCCCACCAGTAGATTCCCAACACAAAATGAACTCAAGGATACTTTTGGAGGTTCGTTTGTTTGTGTTTCATAATGCTTTGCCTGGCCTTACCCCCCTTACCCTACAGGTCTTTGCTTATAAAATATGGTTTCTGATTTTGTGTTTTTGTACTTGTCTCTGCACCTATATGTATTTCTTGTGATTTTTCTTTTGCTCTTTGTTGTTTGTTTTCTTATTTGCTTTATTCAAGTTTGTTTTCTTGCTATTATTTTTTCTTTTTGTTTTTGGGTCATTTCTTTCTTTCTTTTTTTTTCAT